GATGAATTTAATTTGTGTAAAACGTGTTCAACAATAGTGCTTGTTGCCAAGTGCTGGATTGTGGTAACCGTATTTTCGGAACCTGGTTTGTTCTTGTTTTGCATGAATTCTATTCCCAGCAAATTTCATATTGCAGAACTGACACACAAACTCTAGTACCTGCTGGAAATCAAAGCCAGAACCATATGACCAAGTGGTGAATATGACATGGACATGACACATAAAATTGTATTTGAATGTAAACGTTTATTAAACTTACTTTAAATTAATTAAAGTAAACTGCTTTCGTTTTATTACATACTATCACTGTTCTGGATTTTGAAATTATTACATTTCCGACATTCGATGAAGCTGCAACCCCCATTTTGTTGGCGCACCAGCCGCCACTGCCTAATTCAAAATTAAACTTTGTGATGCAATGCAATAACATGGTGTGAGCCTCTTTACTTGCAGTGTTTTAAAGCGAGTAATTATTACCGCTTAAACTGTCGATACTTTATGCGATATCACCAAAAGTTATGGCAATAGGTTGAATCAACCATGCCGAAAGAGACCAGAACATTTGTGTGTTCATCTTTTCATGTCTTGTTTCATAAAACTGGTTTTATACACATGTGTGCTTCATTATTAGAAATTAAGCAGTAACAATCAATAAAACAATACATCAACAAGAAGTCGACAATGACTGGAAAACAAATTGTAATATAAACGCAACTGATGTCAAGTCCAAGACGAACGTAGAAGTGGAAGTGATAACGATAAAATCAACTGATTTATGCTAAATACGATGTTTCAAGAATAAGATTAGACGGAGTTCTTTCTATGGCGCCGAAATACGACCAACTAAAAGCGTTATCGTTACGAATTCTGCTTTACTTGTGTAACCGTTTATTTGCAACACATTGCATTGTACAAAGAAAAGATAAAGTAGTAGAGCTACAACTGCAAGTCTCGCGTTACTAACGGTTACATAAAATTATAATGCCGCAATTTGTCATTAACAAGTTTCTGCCATCATTTCTAAAGCTCATTACCATTAGTAACGCTTTAAGTGCGAAAATATAATTCATTTAGAGGTGATACATCAACAAAAATTCTACAGCGCAAAACTCCCTTACATCCAGAAACACCACCAAACAATGAGAAGTTATTCTGAGAAGATCTCTATTTTCAGTCTTCTATCTTCAATATTGGAATTAAAGGAAGACGCAGAAAAAATTGTAAACTTTTCCAATAGTCGAAAATTTAGAGTTTAACGAAAATGCGACCAGCGCCACTTTCTTTACCGTTCTTTTCTACATACGAGGAAAATATTCCGGGGTTTTTGAGAAAATAATTGCTTTAAACAATTTACAAATTGCCTGTTTCACCCAAATTTACGCAAACCTACACATTTTTGAAAAATCGAACATTACCTTATTTGAAAAAGTTTTTGATGAACAGAAAAATATTTAAAGATTTATTAAGGGAAAATATTCATTATTCATAGTTGTAGAAAGACGTCAAAAAAATGTTGAACTTTTGCAAAATTCAGAGTTCAACGAAAATTCGACCTATGTCATATCTTCAATCTTGCTTTACCAGAGAAAAAATAAAGAAAAATTTGACGCTATTTTTTGGAAATTCATTAAATGATTTTGAGACTTCATATGAAGTTCCCCTAAAATTGAATAAAGAAGTTTCAAATTCAAAGGGCCACAATATCGCTCAGATTGGGAAATCAATTGTAGTAAAAACCCTGCTTACGATACGGCTAGCATTGTTCACGGAAAGACGTTTTGCCGTCATTCGACTTTTTGTATCGAGGACCCCGAATACATGATATATAACAACCAATTTTCTGTATACTACATGAAATAGCATACACCTCCCACTTAAGGACGTGGTAACTAAGTAATTCCAGGGCATTTTAGGATCCCCTGAGATGAAACTTCCCCAGGGAATTAGAAGTTTCTTTTTTCTGCATTTGCAGACAATGCTAAATTGCTCCATCGTGATTTATAAATTAAGCGTAGAGGTTAATAGAACAATTAACGAGATAGTATATCGCCTCGAGACATCCCCAACGTCTTGAGGGCACTAACTGTGAACATTGGCTTAACCTAAGAGGTGTTTGACCTCTGGTAGGATTTTGACATTGAGCACCGCATGAAGTTGGGCTGCCAGGGGAATGAGTGATTGGTATTCTACCTTTTCTTCCTCTGCTTTGAAAACGCTAGACCCGTGTGGACTTCGTGGCGGACAGTCACGTCGACCACGAGAATCCCTTCCCGCCTTTTTATTACCAGGCCAGGTTTGAATCTAGCCCCTTCGGCAACGGAGAAAGTGGCTTCCGTGGACACCCCAGTGTCCGATCTACGAATCTCTTCACCTCATCATGACGCTTTATTCTTGCTGGATTTGTAAAAGTGCATTGACCCAGGATATGATGCATGGTTTCTATCGCATTTTCCCTACCTTCAATAGACATCCTTACCCTACCAAGAGAATATTTTTTGGCAGTAGTATTCGATCTCAGTGCTGTGATAAGAAGACCAGGTTTCCAGGCGACTACCTCGTCATCGGCGCATTGCTTCTTAGAAGCCATCATGTTCAATACAGGGTCAGTTGAGCCTCCGTGCTTTAGTGGTCTTTAATGTCTATTAGTAGAAACCCGAAAGGAAGCTCAGCCATCTGCAATTTTTTCTAATATCATATGTTCAGCGTTACCCTAGGAACGTGTTCGGGTAGCCGCAGTCCTCCATAGCTCTAGACTACTACATAGAATAAGCCATCTGCGGTACTCATATGCAGATGTAGGAACAGTTTGGCTGCCACTTTGATTTGACCGTCCGTTTCCCTGAGCATCGACATGTGGGCATCTATAATACCAATTGGTGAAAGTAATATGGCATAATGTAGGTATGAAAAAATGCCAACTTCTGAGTGGGCTTTAAATGCGCCTTCGGAAGCTTCTTCACTGTTGTTGAAATAAGAATTTAAGATTGTATGTTGTACGTGTGTGCATTCGAATAAGTTGATTTGTTAGAGCGAATAACAACGCTAGATGCGCACTCTCGTTTTCGCAAGGACAAGTCAGTCAGTATGAGGCGTGTCTCGCGACTGAGTGAGCGTGTTTTTTTATCTGTTTTCTTTTGTACTGATGTAATCATTCAGTTTTGTGTTAATGAGTTATATTAAAACCATTGTTTGTGTTCTCATTTTACTTCTCGAACAACAGAAGATCACTCCCATCAGTCATTGCTGACCAGAGGAATTCGTTCTCCCAACCTTTCCAGGCACGGGTCCTCACTGAACAAGGATCGCTCAAATGTAACTTCAAATGAAGAACACTTCGCGACGGACGTCATTCCGAGGGCCCCAAGATATTCCACCGCAATATCAACCAGATCTTGAGCTACTGGGGCAACGTTTGCTGACAGCACCAGAGCGACAACAAATGATATCAAAGACACACTCCTTTCCAATAGCATGTATTCTGACTTGTTTTCCGATTTTTCAAGCAGGCAACGCCAAAAGGAGCGGGGACAAGGGACCCCGCTGTTTAACTCTTCTACGAATTGGCAAATTTCCCTTCGAAGGGTGCTGAATGACGGTGGAATCGTCAGCGTGATAGACCGTTACCGAATTGGCTAGGGCGTTGGGGATGTCTGGGACAGAGCCCACGGAACCTGCGCGTGAAGTGTCGAATGCTTTGGTTGTATCCAGCACAGCGCCGACAACACCCCCAGCTTTTGTCATGTCACAGACAGCTTCGTGAAGAATTTGAACATTAACGAAACAGCCAGGTTCAAGGATAAACCCTCTTTGGCGTGGATTGAATGCGTTTGTCCATTATGTCCTCAATTATTCTGCACAGCACAGAATCAGTCGTGATGGGGCGATAGTGACACTTATTACCCTTATCCTCTTTGATGATAAAGATGGTGCGATTAGCTTTGCACGCAGAAGGCACAAAGACATTGCATAAAATTTCGATTACAATAGGGGCAATATTTCAATTTTTGCTCCTGAAGATATGTGGCTATTTTTGTCTTATCTGGTCCTGGAGCCGTGACATTTGTCAACCCAGCCAGATGCCTTAATTTCGGCGATTAGCACCACACATAGAATTGTCTGGGTCCATTTCAGATGGCGGCAATTTTATCACCCGTTCTTAATTCGGAAAGCCGAATCGGGGGCGTTACCCCAAATGATTTTGTCCATGTCATTAACCTCATCCCTGTTACGGGGCTGTTGATCGGCACTAGTGCAGCCTATGCCTGTTCTAATGCACGTTGCCAAAAGCGCTGGATCATTCTTCAAGAGGCCTTGCGCCACTTGGTTATGCTAATAAGGGTAGCGCTTTAGCGCGTTTACCTCCATGTTTACGGGGCCTTTTACGACGAGGAACCGCCCACAATCTCTATTAACTTGGCGCTAGTCTCGTCCAATTAGTCCTGGGATTGAACATTTCTTTTGAGTTCATTTCCCACCTCAACGAGTTCTTGATCTACATTTGTTTGAGAAGTAACACAGGTTCCTATCCAAGTTGAAATGTATTCCTTCCAGTTAGGCTTGGCATTTTGTGACCATATTAAGACAAGTTTCAGTAGTTACGTCTCCGGGCGACATTGCAGCTGGGGACTCAATGGAAGTTTGGTTCAGTCCTAACCGACCGGTGGTATCAATAACGGATAAAACAAAGAGGACCTGCACAGCCGAAAGCTCCTGATTCATCTCTGAAATTATAGCAGCCTCTTCATTGGGGGATCGCATCCTATTTGCTTTCGGTAGGCTATGTCTACCATTCCAAGTTTATCAGGGCCTCTGCCTGTCGGCCGAGCTTTTGGAAGGGAATCGGTACAAAGCTGTTGGCTGATCTCTATCTACAGAGACGTTTCCGTCCCCTTTGGGGAGGTGTCAGAAATTAATCAAATTTTGTAAAAATACCTTCATCAATTAGAAAAGGCCGGTTTCTATCTCGTGAAGATACGAAAAATTGTTGACCATTTTCTCTTTGGAATTAGGGGGGGGGTGACTGCCAAGGAAACTATGTAAAGTGTCAAATTCAAATCCTGATTTGAAATTTCTCAAAAACATATGTAACATTATTTGTGGCTACAAATCAGAAAATGCAAAGTTTGACCTCACACTGGCTCAGATTTCTTTGAAGTATGAGAAGTTTCGGAGAATTTGAAGTAGTTTCTCAGAGATCTTTAAGTATGCTCCAATTATGTCTTGGGATGTAGAAAACATTTTCAGCACCCATGGACATTTGTTCCTGACAAAAGGATGAATTTATCCAAGAGTAAAATTTAGAAAATTCATTAATTGTTCACTGTTAGAAAAAGCAATAAAACAAAATATACTGTTGTTGAGTTGCTTTTGACCTCATAACAAATGTGTGTGCAGTCGTGTGGGTATGTAAATAAGTGTTTGTTTACAGAGCAAATGTTTGTCATTTATTACACAAATATAAAACAGAAATTATACTGTTTTACATTTGTCAATTGAAGAACATATAACTACATCCCTCATGCAAGCTAAATGAATGGCCAAAATGTTGGCTCTAAAAACTAAAATAAGAAGACTGGACTTTTATTGATCCATTCACATGAGACTCCATAAATATTTGTAATACAAGGTCAACACTTTTTGACCTTGTAACCTCGTAGTATTACAAATGTTTTCTACACAACAGTTTATTTTTTGTTTCATTGCTTTTTGTAACATTGAACGAGTTATCTAAATTTTACTCTTTCAAATTCATTTCACTGATTCCATATATACAATAAATATACAAAACAAATTTCATTGTACATGTTTTGTCAACTTTTACCCTGCATTGTGTAAGTTTAACTATTTGTTATTTGATTTTTGCATGCATTTTAGCATTTGATAGTGCATGGAAATCCTGTCTCTAGTAATGAATTATACAAGTGATGACTGAGGGGTGTTAATATGGACAGAACTTTGACTATTATAATATTGTGTAACCATTATTAAGTGCAAGAAAGTATATGCTGTTGCAGACCCACTAATTATAATTTTGCTAGGTCATCACATGTATCAAACTACTACTATAATGCACATAAATACTTTGTTCTAAGAAATATCGTTTCCATCCATGCATAATTAAAAGCATGATGAACGTAAACAATGAGGCCCCTTTGAGATTTGTTATTCGTGGTCTCGCCGTTTACAACAGTTTGATGAATTAATTCAAATGTTTACATACTTTCATATGCTTTTCAACATTTGCATCAATTTTCACAATATTCTTTTTACAGACAAAATTGTGAGTAAATAGAGAAAACTATCCCTAACCTATCTTATTACATACACTAAATTGAAATGGAAGTATCAACAAGCATACAAAGTTTGCCATTTTAAAATGACATTAGCAAATGCTGATCTTCAAAGCAGTTTTAAGAGCCGTTTCTCTTGATTTTGCATGTAAATCACACAAATATTCTAGTAAGATCACAAGGACAAGCCCTCTTTGACCAGTGTTCTGGATAGAATGATTGGGAACAGGTACTCTATTGCACATTGACACCATACTTCAATCTTAATTATTTTATTAATAAAACGTGCGTATGATTGTCCGGTGAAAATTTTAAAACTTAGGATAGTCAAATCATTGTAAAGACTGCCACAAAGACACCACTAAAAACAAAACCTCAGTGTATTATAGGCTCATACTATAAAAGGAAGTTAGGGTCAGGTCTCCGAATATGAGATCGTTTCCTAATATGAGACCCCAGGCTGTACATTTTAGTATGCGATGCAGAATAGTGGACACGATCAAAACCAGTAGAGCACACTAATGAGTCATCGGAGAGCTGCAATTTATTTCTTTTGCTGTGAGTGTTGTGGAATGTTTTCGGCAGATTTTCCAAAACCTTTTGCATGGTTTTTTGCCCCATTGTCTTCTTTCAAATATTTTTTAACTACAAGGTAAGAGATGGCCTTTTCATAGTTCTTATACAAAAGCTGATAATTTTAGGTGTACACATGGCTATTTACAATATAATGTACAGTAAACATAACTTGAGAGATTTGCTGTAAAATCAGCTATATTGCTCACATTTTAATTATGTGATAATTAAACATGAAGAGAATAACGTGAACTAAATGTAATTATATACACATGCACCCATACAAATATTAAAATTAAAGAAAATCATGTCCACACTAGTTGGTTTTCTTTCTCTTTTCCCTCTCTTCAGATGGCTCCTCCTCCAAAAAGAAAGAAATGGGAGAAAAATGATTCTTTGAGCAGTTCAAGCAGAAATGGAAAGATTGGATACAAGTGAGCTTCAAAATACTTTAATGTGCCTAAAGGAACACATACGTCATGTAAAAGACAAAGACCATATTCTTAAATTATTTGGTGGTAAACTTGGGAAGGAAACCAGTTTAAGTACGGAAATCAAGGATTTATTGGTAAAATATTGTCACAGCATAGATGCAAGGTTTTATGGATTGAGAAGAAAGAATATCATCATGAGAAAGGCTTTTGAGCTTACTCTTGGGAACAGCCTTAAACATCAGTTTTCAGCGTAAAAAATAAAATGTATTTGTGACAACCTTTAGTTTATATACACTAATAATACAAATATGTACTTATTGTCACACACTCAATTTCAGGACCAACTCAGTCAATTTTATAGGGTCTCATATTAGGAGCCCATTTGTTCAATTGTCAAAATGGCCTATTTCAGTTTAATTTTTTTTGCTGTTCAAGAATACACATTATTTTGGTTTTCAAATATTGTTATTATTAGTATAATAAATATTACTTAAACCTACCATAAAAGCTTGTCTTCATTAGAAGTATTTCCCAAATTATGTCCAAATTACAAACAGAGTCTCATATTTGGGTACCTGACCCTCCATAATCAAGCTAGTATTTACAATGCATTTACATCTAAATCTTTGGTTTCTATAATGGTACTTGAAAGTGGAGATGGAAGTTATAGTTAATACATTGTTCCTTAGCAACAAGAGGATGCAACTGCAGGTTTCGATTCCCACAAAAGTGTATTAAAAGACGCTTCGTATTAATAACACTAGCAACCAATGTGCAATTCGAGAAGTCGCAGATATCTGGGGGCAGAGACCCCAGGCAAAGTAGTTAGTCTTCTAATTCAACAATGGGTATTCATTCATGACAGGAATGCTCGCACAGTTGCTGTGAAAGGTTGGCGACACACAGCACATGTTGTGAGAGATGGTGCACACTTGACACATGCCACCAAGTGGCCACAGGGCAGGAAGACTACTCCTAGATCCTCCTGGTAGCATATTTTGCATAGACGGACATCATCGCCTCCTTGGCTGCCTGAACTTGTGGATGCTATTGGCTCACTTTCAGAACTGCAAAAACACAGGAAAAAAAAATAATTAAGTTTGCTACTACATTTAGAAGTACACATTTGAATATTTTAAACATTTACATATTTTCAAATCTAATATTAGAAAATTAGTTAAAAACATTGAAAAAAAGCCATGCATTAAAAACACCTGCAAGAATTATTTTCAATATTCCCTGGGCAAAGATGAAAACCATAATAAAACTTTTAGTTTTCTCAGATCTTCAATAACAACCATCTTTGCGTTTATTGTGCGTCTAGATATTTCCAACCTTCAATAGGAACTCAAGGGGATGGGGAGTGGTACTGCTTTTCTTGTGGGGATCAACTATATTGCTGCTGCCTACCTCATACTCATTTTTGAATAGTCTGTGGGTACCCACAAATTCATCAATTCAAATACTTTCAATAATCTTTAATATTTCATGCATTTTCTTTTTGCATAATTTTGTAAGTAAAAAATACCTTATTTTAAAGTACACACCTGTAAACAAAATTCCATATTTTCTCAAATATTTCTGAGGAAAATAGTCTTGCACAACCCTTCTCTGGCACAGTGCCACACCATGGAAGTTGTATTCAAAATTGTAAAATACAGGATAAAATTTCTTAACCCTGCAGTAGGTGCATTTCATAATGGTTTGAAAGTGCGCGGGGAGATGAAGTCTGTCACCCCACAGTAAAAAGAACAAGCAAATAGTACACTCTTGCTTCACTAATTAAAACGTGTTTATATGAAGTATTTAGAACTAACAAATGCTGCTATTCAGAATAAATTCTAAAAATTTGTTTTTTTCAAACAACCTTTACACATGTAACATAGTTTCCCCTTTGGTGTATGGTGTTTCTAACATTAAAACACAAATTGATATAATACAAATATTCTGTAGTCAACGAGAAACCTAAATAATACCTGTCATGATTGGAAATTATATTGCTTATTGTACGCTATCATTTCAGTTCACTTCTCTGAACTGCATGGCAAGAAGCAGTAACAAAACGAGGCATGGGGTGACTCAGTGACCCCATGCCACATCACATTGCCTTTGCAACGAAATTTCTCAAAAAGGACTGGCAGTTGAAAGAAGCCACTACTTCAAGTGTATGATAATGCAGATGAAATTACGAAAATGACTGTTGCACAGTTAATACTAATTATGTCACATTTGCAGTTTCCTCAGTCATTATGTTCATGTGGGGAAGACTTCGCACATAGTTGGTGACGTGTGGTAAAATGAACAAGGCTGTCACAATGGGTCCTGTATTTTTTCTTTGCAAGATGGAATACACTTATAATTTTACAAGAGTATGATATCACACATAGCTAATCTTGCACAGCTATGAGAGGTCCAAATGCAATTCTGAACGATCCTCCAGAAATGCTTTTGAAAAACACAATTATCTTCAAAAAAATTAATTCCTGGCTAAATGCACTATACAGCAAAATGGCATTCATGTCATCATATATTCTTTTCTTTTTTAAATTACACAAACAATTTTTTGATTCTCTCACATTGTTAATATTAATAATACTGGTGATTTGTATTGTTTATTGTATTTACGAGAACAAGTGCATCAAATGAGGTCTCGCACATTATCTCAAAAACTCCAGTCTTCTGTGAAAACGAGGTCAAAGTTCCATGATGCTTTAACACCATTTTCTCAAAAACTGCTTCAAAAGTTGAAAAAGTTTTCTTTAAACAGATAGTGCTAAATGAACTGCATAACATAACGTAAATGGCGCTTCGATTTTTACTTGATCAAAAATTACGAAGTTTCATGAAAAGAAGTAAACAGCTTCTGATGTTCCTCGTCAAGACAGATTGAGAGGCAGAGACAAAACAGGATTCTTGAAGAATATTTTGAAAATAACTTCTTTGCATTTGCAATTTGTCCACTTATCTTTATATCCAGATCATTTTTTTCTCTCATTCTGTGAAAAGCATGAGCTATGCAAGTCACCAGAAGCATAGTCAGGAACAACACTTCAAGATTGTGCTGCTCTTTACGTATATGGTGCAGCATCAGTTTAAACTGTAGGAGCTACAACTGCATGCACTTTCTCACTACATTATGTTACAGTTATGTATGTTCCTTCACTTCAAATATCACTATCTTGTAAATAAACGAAGCCTGAAGAAAGGAATTTAATCAAAATTTTAAATGAAAATAATTTCTGGCATTGAATTCAATGTCTTCACAAACATATCCGATATGTATTTTAGTTTTAAAATATATTGCAAAAGCAGTATGTGAGAAAGTATAAAAAAATAAATCTGTCACCTCTTTAACCCATCAACATGCAGCTCTTACATGTTTGCTATGTGAACTTGTACCTAATTGTATGTTAAGAAAATTCCACCACATGCATCTTTAACCCACTGTTAACATGCAACCCGCGTATAAAAGTAGCTCTTGTTAAGTTTTGGGGCTAATTATTGTTAATTGTAATATTATTAATAGTACAATTCGGAAAATGTATATTGGGTAAATTAACATTTCTCTCCCATTCAAGCATATTAACTCTTCCCAGGAAATTACATTTACTTACAATGTGAAGCTGTCCCAACTGAAAGTCAATGAGTCAACTTCCTCACCAAACATCATTTCTTTAGGTATCTTAAGGTTCAGGATAATTATATGCATCCATCTTTCTTGAACGAAGGTATATCGCAAGCAACACTCCACAATACCATAGTAACATGCCTCAATAACAGAATTAATTTGTTTACTATCACAATATTGTAAATTTTTGCATATGTTGTCAGTTTTTATGGTGACCGATAAATTGATGAAGTAATATGAGACTGACGTTTTGCAGTCAATCCATTTTTTTTGATAACAAGGACCCACAAAACATGGATTTTGGCTGCACCACAGGCTTCAGGATTTTTTCTCTAAATTTAGCAACTGAATTTTTCCACTCTCATTATCAGGGCCTGGCAATAAGTGTTTTTCGGACGAAAATTCACAATTTTTTCATGCAGCAATACATAATTTCTCTCTACTATGCAACTGGTAGCAAGAAAGTAAAACACAGAATGAGCCAAAATTGTAATAAATGGAGAAATTAGAAAGAAGTCAATACTTTCTCTTCTCTCTGGCAAGAGACACTCTGATCAAGTCAGGACATAGAATAGAAATTATAAAACTAAATACACTAAAGAAGAGACTTGCACTTAGAAATAAAACTAACTACACAACATTTGCAAAACCTAGGGTCATGTGCACCAGTGATGCTAAAGATTTACATAATAGTAAAACCTCATCCTACAAGGTTATTTCCATTGAAAACTTTTGAGCCCTTTTTCACAGAACTCTTTTGAGTTTTCAATAATCTTCAAATGAAGTCATTTGAAGCACTTCCAGTCACAAATGCAATAATGTATACAAATCACTGGAAACATGCATATTAATGGCATGAGAGACATTTTTCAAAAAAATACATTTGTGTATTTTGTGAAAAACAAATCAAAGCAGCAAAATTAATTTAATGTCACTGAAACAAGTCTACGGCCCAATAAGATCCACTTTGACTTTGACTTTGTCAATTCACGCTGTACGCTTATCTACCTTAAAATTTTCATTTTTCACTCCCCACCCCCACCCGAGAGACACCTTATTCCTCGGAGTCATTGCTAAAGGTCAGAATTATGAATCATCATTATACTTCAGTTTTTACAACGTGGTGCATCAGGGACTATCTTAATGATTAAATATCTTGCAGCATTTCAAGTCTTTCTCGGCCGTGCCATTGGACAAATCGCACTACTTGACAAGGTCGTGATCATGCGACATCTAGCGGCATGACTGAGAAAGACGCCATATGCTGTGCGATATTCCATCATGAAGACAGGCCCTGGTGCTCCGCATTATAGAAACCTATGTAAATAAATCAGATGAAAAATAAAAGTTGATATTAAGCATGATTCTGAATAATAAGAGCTGTCTGTCTCCTCATTGCAGTTAAATCACCAGTTAGTATGTCAGTAGCAGATCAATTATTTTTAACCTTTCAAGAAATGTGTAGTAATATTGCCAATAAATGTTCTAACTATAAACTAAAGAAAGCAACTTCTTTTCCATTTCCAAGTTCCAATTGGAGGAAAATCATAAGAGGAATCTCTTCAGATGCACAATACAAATATATCACATACCATGTTGATTAGTTAGCTGCCATGTATATCGACCCACAGTGGAATATGACTAATATTTACTTAGGAAGGATATCCTTTGATTCACGTGTCAGAAATAGTCTAAAATGGATTTCTCATTTACTCTGGTGGCCTCTACAAATCAAATGGCATGAGTATTCGATAATTAAACTCATTCATTTTCTAATTTCAGCAAATCATCTTCAAAGCAACTCCAGCCAAAAGACTTAATGCTGCTTATCCAAGTAACACAAAAATGAACTAGTTTCACACACCTTGAAGTTGATGGCTCCACAGGTTCTCTAATTTGCACAGATTCTTTTAATTCCGCAGGAACTCTGAAGTTCTTGACTTCCTGAAACAATGATAATATTAAGTTAGTAACAATTTTTCAAGTTGGCAAATAGTAAAGCGCTTGAGGAATCGCCCAAATGTGATTTATTTGCATGCCTATTCAGGATAAAAAGGATAACCAAATACAAGGCAATCAACTTTTTTAAAAAATAGGATTTTTAACCACATGGGAAAGAAAAACGCCCTTTGGAGCATTGTAATTAATGTGAAGGGGTTGTGTATTTCTTCAATATGTTAATTTTAGAATTCCACTAAGGTTCACTTCATCAATGATGCAGTGTACATAATTTTTATACCATTTGACATCATAATTAGCCAAGTCCAATTAAAATAGTTTTCTAGTAAAATCTTGTTCTTAGGGGCCCAAATATTGGACATTATCCATATTGTCATAATATATTAGAGATAGAGGTAATATACCTGGGAAGAACACACCTTTGAAGTTGGCCTGCTTCCCTCTTCTCCAGCAACACTTGCCACAAATTCTTTCCCTTTGTTGAGGACGACATAAGAACATTTTGGAAACCACTTTGCATGCTCTACCCAAGGATCATCTGTTTCTTCCCAATCTTTTAACCCTCCTCCACAATGGAAACACACTGTCTTGTCACTTTTTCCTGAATACACAGAAAGAAAAAGTTAAGTTATGTTGTCATCAAAATACAATCACCCCTTGAAGTGGCACAATAAAAAACATGTTTACTAAATAATTGCACCAACCCAAAATATACACCAAGTACATTTTTATCACTGTCAAACATTCTACATCCAAGTAAATACTACATCCCATTCAGCCAACGCTATATTCAGGGCCTTTCTTCCCAAAAGTATCATATATCAATTTTGTACATCTTCGCTGAAGTTAACCACACAAGACAGCATGCAAGAGTCAGATTTGACCTTACATCCAGGCACGAAGCTTAGCAGCAAGCTATATAAATCTCCTAAAAATACAAAAATACGTTCTAACAACTGAGCGTTTTTGTTGCAACAAGGTCTTTTTGATATTCAAAGAAAATAGTCAACTCCTGTTAAAGTGAACTCTCGGTTATAGAGAACTTAAGTTATGGGTCCTCTTTCACTTGCATCACAAATACGTAAGCACAAGAAGATTTGGTTATAGTGAACCTGAACCTCGGCTATGGTGAATGTAGTCCTCGAAATTAATTTTATCTCTTATGTTATTAGGCGAGTGGGACAGTGTTCCACAGTCCAAGAAGCATTGAACAGTGTCAAGACTGCATTACGATACTTAGACCGAAGACAATGCAGAATCAAATGTGGCGAGAGCACAAACTCTGGAGAAGGTTCCAGAGAAATACTAATGAAAAATACACTAAGCAAACCTATGTTAATAAAATCAATAATTGTAGGGAAATTCTATTTCTTTTTGACATCATCGGATATAATGAACCAAAGATGTTAATCCCCAGAAGTTCATTATAACAGGAGTCGACTGTACTGTAAAAATATGCTATAGAATGTGGAAGAAGAGAAAAGTATTAATGTTGGGGATTATCAGTCCACTCACATGAATTTTCATCACAAACACAGCATGTATATCAGAGGGTTAAGACCCTCAGATTTTTGAATGAAGTACTTAGGAAAAATATTAATGCTTCCATTTTCTAAGCAATTATTGGCATGTTAGGATTCATAAGACCTTGTTACTTTTTGCCGTTGCAAAATTTTCTTACAATATCAGCTTTTATTTGCTCATGGGTATGTATGCCTACTTTGTAAACTTTGATATTTTCAAAAGTAATTTTTCACACAGGGACTACAAGTTTCCCTTTGTAAGTACTTTCAACACTTTCTATTACTAGTTATGCATCTTTTAAAAAAATAATTATAAAACTAGTTATCTCTAAAACGTATTTACCTTTATGTAATGTAATAATGCAAGTACTCATTATGACAAATGTATAATTAATATGACATATTGCTAGAGAAACATCTCTTGGCATTATTGTAATTTTGACTATCAGGCTTCAGACACAATTCATTTAATAATGAACCTTTTGTTTAAAAAATGTGATACAGTATTAGACTAGTTTTATGAGGCCTCCTGTGCAGATGGACTTCCTGCTTTGAAGCTTCCTGTGCAATTGGACCTATTGCTTTTAAACCTCTGGTGTTATTAGACATATTCTGAAATCAATGTCCTGTGGTAGTGGACCAACTGCATATTAGATATTTTTTGCTTGAATTTAACTTGAAAACCACAAAATATGATAACCATTACATAATCAGGTACAAGGAACAAATTTTTGCATTATTTACGGACTGGTCATCTTGCTTCCATCACTTTAAATCTATAGAGGTTCCATGTCATAACATTTGTTTCCACTTTTCCTAATATCCTTCAAGTTTCTCCAGACCAAATCACCTTGGCTGCCACAAAGAATTAAAAGTGCAAAATTTGTTGAATTACTTCTTCACCAACATTTCATTGTTTCCAGGCAACAGAAAACTTGTGCAACAATTTTCTCACTGAACTTAAAGCCTTGATTTACCTCTACCTAAGTAAAAGAGAAAATAAGTCCATTCATGGTGGCTAGAGAATCCATCAGAGACTCATCATCCAGATAATTAGGTACCAATCATCCACCACTTATCCAGACTCATCTATGACACAAGGGAACTGCTTTTCATTCGTAGAGGTTTTGGGAGAAGTTTTCCCTCTATGACTAAGACAGAGGGAAGTTGGCTCTCATCTGCAACTATTACCTTCATTATAGTTTCCATATCTTGACATTTTAGAAGAAAACTTTGTCCTCTTCTTTGCAATGGCATTGCAAATCTAACCAAAGTGAAGTGTCTGACATGTAGGGCATTTGTCCTGAATATGTTATTTTTCTTCTGGAAGGTGGTGAAATGCAGCTGACATATTAAGTTACCTCTCCAGTTATAAGCAGAAGAGTTTTTGTCATTTTGTACATCATAGAAAAATGCCACAAGCTCCACTCTCACACCAGTCGCCAGCTTTTCTTTGCAAGAGCCAGTGATTTCCTTTTATTGGCTTCAGTTGCAAATAAAGCCAAATTTTATTGTCACCAAGAGAACATTGATCACAGCTGCAGATTCTGGTGTTGCCTTTCATGCTGCCATTTTCAACCTTTTAGATACATTCTATTTTCCTTTTGCAGACCTAGCCATACAGACTTTTAAATATACAACCATGCTGACCCCAGCAGATTTTTAACTGCAGGAAGTGTTGATGAAGGCCAAGGCAGGCTATTCTTGCATAGGAATGCAATGGTGTCTGATGGGCAGTGTGATGCACTGAGATGACATGTTGTTACGAGCTAAAACAAGAGGTATATGCATGGAAAAAAGTGTGTCAGTTAATAGGCTATGGCTTAGAAATATTACAACCCTTCAAATAATAATATGAACAACAATAATTAAAATATTTGAATATGAATACACCATTTTTGGTGATTTTATTGCTCAACATTTGATTTTATCATACTGGATAAAGTTCATTAATTTGCTACTGTCCAACCAAGGGAGTAAAAATATATCTTTCTGGCACCATTTAATTATTAGAAATGCTTCTAAATTAAATTAAAATATTACATTATTGAACAAATTTGTGCAACTTATTCACAGCGCAAACCCTCAAATTCTGTAAGATTGCAAAAGGAAATAAAACTTTTATTTATAAATGTCCATAACTAGTACCATCTTCCTTTTCAAATTCCACTTTTCACAATTTTTTTTCTTCAAAATTCAAAAACCTGAAAAAAATGACCCTGACAGAAGTAGTTTGCAAAAACCTCTGCAAAGGTAATGTTTTTCTTGTTTTCCAAAAGATGTTCACTTACATACAAACTTACTTTTTAAACCTGAAGAAATCTGATAGGATTTCACAAACAAAGTCAGAAGCCACCTTCTTTTCTTCTTCTTCTGTTCAGATTTCTTCTTTTGTAATAGGATGCCATCTTTAGGCAAATGTTTGCAATCCACATCCTCTTATTCTGCTTCTGAAGTCATTACACACTAATTGTGCTAAATGTCACAGTAGCCCAAGATTGCTCATAGGGCCCCTGAAACCCATGTGTATCAACACTATACATCTTGCATTTGTATAAGCTGAAGCTCCAATACGTAGGAATCGCCATGGTTCATCTTGTCATTCTCAGAAGGCGTGAGACAACAACTGCCACATGCCTCTGGATGTCAGGTGAGAAATATCCCATTTGTACCACTGGGAAAGCTATCTCCTGTTCATAACTAAAAGGTTCAGTACTAAGAATTACTTGATCATGAAAAAAAAATCCTATGTTGTTCTTTTGGCTCTCCATTTCATATTATCCAGTTTAAAACAGTATGAAATAATAGATAAACAGAAAATAGACGGTTAACATTACCTGAACACTTGCAACAATAGACTGTAGCAAACATTAAATTTAAATGAAGTTAACAAGGAATTCAAGGTATACTTGCGTAAAATAATAATAATAATTATGAGTCTTATTTTGAGTAGTACATTGGTGTGCATTCACATATACATTTCAATGTGGTAATAAGGGAAATTCTTACTAATCAAGCAAGTGAGGATCTATTTCTCAGAGTATGAAAATAATTTATATCAATAATTGGTACTAGAGAAATTCGTGGCAGTGCACTAACGCCCAGGATAAAATAAAACTTGCTAATTGGTTTAAATTTGGGAGGTTGTACGTATAGTTGCTTCACTATACTGCAATTTTTGCAACTCTGCCCCTCACAGTTATATCCAATCAGCTTTAACATCACAATAGTGATGGCACAATGGTGATATTCAAGCTCCCAATTGGATGAAACAGTCCACAGCAGATACCTGCCAGGGGCAGAGTTGCATAAATCACAGTATAATTTAACCACCTGATAAATCAAGCTCACCTGTATAAAAAAATCCTGCTTCACTTAATTTCTCAGGGCGTTGCTTAATAGACACAGGCCATGAACTGAAAGACTTCAATCTTGTCTCAGATGTAGCATACATTGTCCAGGCAGGAGCTCTTGCTTGATTTATTCCTAGCATTTCTAAAGGCGTTTCACTTGAATTTCCAGCTAAAAATGAACACGGTATTAACAATTTGAAAGCATTGACATTCTTAACACATTATTATTTTAACAAATTCTTGTTTAATATACCATTTTCTCTGGCTGAATGAGGTCGAATTTCCAAAGTGTAAGGACCACAGACATCATAACCTCTTGACACTTCCCTTCCAGGTGGTGTGTCAACATTGCCAGATAAAGGGATATTACCCACTGGCATCTTTCTTATGAATGGACAAGAAGGTTGCCATCTCTGATGGTCTTGAAAAGGATCATCGCCTTCCTCCCAATTACCCACTTCCACACCACAAAAAACACATTTGACAAGATCATCCCTATTAATGTAATAGAAACCAGCAGCTGCTAATTTATGTGCATCCATAAAGGGTACGGGCCATCTTTCAAATGTTTTGTATCGATCCGCTTCCGATTTTAAGTTAAATGAAGGAGGTTGCGCTGCCATGGCGAGGTTGCAACGATGACGTCCGTTTACTGCAGATGGTGTGCCATTTCTGCAACGAACCACAACGTCCCTGAGCACACGAATTCAAAACACTCGAGTTTGACACATCTATGATAAAGTCATTTCAAGTTAAGCTTTAACACCACACAAAGCAATCAACGATTATAAAACCACAATATTATTTTTGTAACACTTTCAAACATAGCATTTGGCACTTGCATTCCAAGCTTTCTTTAAATGGCAATGGCCTCCTGTGAAAGCGTCGTGCCACTTTGTTCCGTCGCGAAATCTACAAGCACTATCACCAAAACGGTTATCTCTTACCTTTCTCAATGACTTAGCCAATCCTGAACTCTTCCGACAACTTTCAACCGATTCGATTTCGACTCAGTTCACACTTACAAAACGAAGGCCAGCCCAGCGGAACAAGCCGGAAAAGGATTTCTGGTGGATGGGCGCTGTGGAATGTACTGCGATGTACGTTCCATGGATGTATGAGTCATTTTCATTCACGTGATTGTTTCGTAAGAAACTAATTATACAGCTGGCGAAAGCTGCTGCAACTCAAATGATTTGATTATGAAGATTAAAAATTAAATTTCGTTTTTCCGAAGTTTTATTTATCCGTCTTTCAATCACGAATCCTCTGAAGGTGTATTTTTGATTAGATAAAAACCGTTATTTGCCCTCATCAGAATGTGCAGTTGTCCTGTCGTCTTTTTGTGCTTCGAACGCTTCATTATCTTGAATACACTTTACGAGTTTAATGTTGGCTCAGCAGGACAATCACATTCATGTTTATTATCATATGAAGTATATTTTATATATAGTATTACGTTTTTAGATTACAAAAATGAATTGTACGAATAAGCAAATCCCGTCCACGTGATTTTTGTAAGCCTCTCTTTAAATTAATCTAGGAATTTTACCATTACCTTGTCTCTTGTTACGCGAATCAGTGTTTGTTTTTTTGTCAAAAATTACTTACTCAAGGGGGTGGGACATATTTTCAGCAAACTCCGATGTATATAACTAAAACACGCGACGCAGAAATAATTTTGAAGTGACAGTATCAACTGCTCAGTATGACAAATTTACGTACAATACATGTAGCTTATTAAATTACTTAATACATTATTTTACAACACTTAACCAGATGATATTAAATGATTAAAATCGATGTAAGTCTCAAGTAAAATATTTTCTGCTGCGCAACTGTTTCTATACAGTTAGTCTATACCGACCATCTAAAAGGAAAGTAATATTAATTTTAACAATGATATTTAATGTATTTTTTACCATTTAGACTGCATAATTCTAAACAACCTGTAACAAGTATTGTACCTCAATTTATGGGTTAATGACCCCCATCTCCATCAGGTTTTTCATATTTTATTTCATCGGAACGAATATTTTATTAGTAATTCTTGCAAAAACGCCAATTTCTTTCTGTATTCAGAATTCAACATGTATATGGCAGTGTCGGATCCAGAGACGAATTTTGGGAGGGAAAAATTTGTTTATTCAAACGATTTTTGTCCAATATGTCATATTACATGTTATGTAGAACGACGCAGGCTAAACTCAGCTCATATTGCAATACGATTTTATTCGTTTTAATGTTTATACGAAAATATTGTTTCTTGAAAATTTCTTGAACGTGTTTATAACACGTTAAAATTAATAGTTGCTGCAACATTTTGGGAGGGGAAATCCCCGCCCCCCGTGATCAGCGCCTGTATATGGCTTAAGCTAGGGATCCCGTAATTAAGTAAACGTGCACAGAATACACTTCTCCCAGCAATACGTTACATAGTTTTTAACTGTAAAATAAATAAAAGATAACACAATGTACCGCACATTTTTGTTGCTTTGGATACTATACTCTAGAAGCTAAATCATCCAACTCCCATTGTTCTATTTATATTGCTTTCAAATTTGTTTAATTTGTTACACATGGAACAAGCATTCACCGTCAGTGGATGACGATGAATTCTAATTGTGAAGAGATTATGTATGTGGAAAACTACGCAAAGTAATCTTAACAAGATACAAGATATTATTTGGTTGTCCTTTCTTATAATTTATATTTTCTAGTATAAAAAAAGACTGAAAAAAAAAGAAAATACAAAGTAATGTTCCCTCGTCCAGATCCTTTCATATTTTTTTAAAATTTTTTTCGATTTATAGTTGCGTCAACTTCCAGATTATAATTAGGCGTAGATCCACAGGGAGTGAAATGATATCCCGCCCTAAAATGTTTCAGTAAATATTAATTTTAACTTGTCACAAAACTTTCAAGGAAAAATATTTTCTGATAACAATTAAAACGAAAAAAATTGTAGCGCAGCAGGAGCTGGGTGTAGCCTGTGACATTTTACTAAATCTGTAATATGACACGGGTACCCACTAATAATATCTGTTATAATAGCTTTTTTTTAAATTGTTATTTTTTTATTTATATTTTGAACGTGAATTGGCCATCCTAGCACCACGCGAACGCGCCACTTGTACCCACTGAGGACCAGTATTATTCTCTCGGGGGCAAATGCATGTGACCTCTTGGGGGGGGGGGGGTCAGCACTTTTATACCGAATTCATTTTTACACCCCAGGGTTGTTAGCTCTGAGGGCATGAAGTATTACATGATAATTAGGATGAAGGGTTATCTGGCTGTATATTCACCTATATTCTACGAGAGCATATTTCATGGAGCTATAGAACAGCAACCCAATGGAAACTAGAGATGCTAAAACGTACTTTCTCCTCATATTTTCACGCAGTATTACGCGGAAAGTACTCTTCCGAAAGTTCCGAAAAATTGTACACCACCTTATTTCAAAATCTACTTTTAAGGAACAGATTCCATCACGGGAAAAATCTCTCTTTAATATTTTAGTTGCAGGAAGGCTCCAAAAAAATTAAACTTTTGCAAATTTCGAAAAATTTGATTTTCCACGAACATGAGACCTGTACCATTTTCTTAAACGTCATTCACATGACCCAACGACAAAATTTAATAAAAAACGCTGGAGGTGTTTTTTTTTTTTTTTTTTTTGAAAAATTGGAAAATGTCCGAAGGGCTTCGTGTATAGAACCCCAAAAGTTAAAATATCGGTTTCAAACTGAAGGAGCCGTAATGAAGGACCCTGGTAATGAAAAAGTGGATAAACCCAGTTTTTAAATTAAGAAAAAAGATCTTCTAACACGTGGTGTAGCCAGAATCCCTGTTTTGTGGGTCCTTGATACCGAAAAATAGATTGACGGCAAAACGTCGGTCCATCTGTGAACAACGCTAATGGATAAACCGTCCAGCCGAATTTCTCCAAAAAATCTTCGATCGATCTGACTGATGTCGCGGCCCCTTGAATTTTAAATTGATATTTTAAGTTTAGGGCGTACTTTACATGAAACCTCTCGGACATTAGAAAAAATGGCCCTATCGACTTTCATTAAATTGTGTTATTGGATAGTTTGAAGGACGTTTAAGATAATGACACAGGTCTCATATACGTTTAAAACTCTGATTTTGCAAAAATCGAAAAACTTCAAAAATATTTTTGGTGCCCTTCTACAATTAAAATACAAAAGCTAGAGCATTTTTTAATTTTTTTGTTTAAACAATTATTTTTTTCAAAAACGGCTCCATTATTTTCTATTAAAATTTGTTGGTGGATAGTCTGAAGGATGTTTCAAGACAATGGTGTTGATCTCATGTTGGTTGTTTACCCTGATTTTTAGAAATTTGAAAAAACATCAAAATTTTTCTGCGTCTTTCTACAACTACAATTCTGAAGACAGATTTTTTTTACTTAATGAAATGTGTCATAAAAAGCAGATTACAAATAAGGTCATGTTGATTTTTTGAAAACATTAGGTTTTTTGTGTAGTTTCGCGACAAATGTAATAACACGTTCGAATTGACTGTTCGTTTTAGTCTTCTTATAAGCACAATTGTAAATTTGCATTTTTAAAAATGAAATGTGCTTATAAAAAATATATCTTCAAATAAGGCCATGTTTCATTTTTTGAAAATATGAGTATTTTTTGTGTAAATTGGCAACAAAATTAAATACCCGCTGCGCTTGTACTGCGCTTTGTGGACGATTTCACATAGTTGGATGCTTCTTGAGTCAGAATTTGTATATTATTTAATACTGCTTTGTTCGTTTCTTACATTCGACCTTTTGTTTTACATTTGCACATTAATCTTTTAGAAATTAATTAAAACCTAATCGAAATACTACTAGCTTTTAGGGACTATCAGATTGGAATGCTACAATGACTCGGGAGCTCGTTTTTGTACATTCCGTCTCATTGTTGTGACATAATTTAGCTGTATGAATAGCATTTATAATTGTCAAATTTGTGTTGATATTACCTTGAAAATATTTAGTTTCCTATCAAAAGTTGTACGATTGGTAATGAGCTGGATTGGGCAGTATTTAAATACTTGTATTTGAAATATATATTTTAAATACATTGACATGTTCATCCACGCCAGTTGAATGACTTTTCCTTTTCAGGTTTTATGCATTCGCCAACTAGGAGTTTATTGTCTGATGATTTGTTTGAAAAGTCAGTTGTTTTAAAAGATAATTCCATTTCTTTGTGATAGACATATTTTTGATATGATTTTATTTTTGATATGATTTAAACCATAGTTAGCCCGAATGCAGACGTTTGCGCGTTTTTAAGAGGATCGGGACGGAAACCTGCAAGTCGGCAACACCGTGCAGGTAGCGCGCTTGATTCAAAACGAGCGACAAGTTCACACGAGTTCTTGCACTTCTCTCTGAGTACTGGGAGCAATGGAAAGATCCTCACTCCTAGAAAATCTTATCCTTTGATATTAGCTGGAATTTGATGGATATAATAAAAATACAAATTTTAGATGGATAGAAATTGGAATGTAGAAAAAATTTTGAATATTTGCAACTTTCGAAAAATCAGGGTTTGACCTGCATCATTCGCGTAAATGTCCTTCATACTATCAAACAACAAAATTTTAACAAAATACGTTGGAGCTATTTTTTTCTTTGTTTTTAAAATGAATCAGGAAAAGGAATAGCTAAAATTTCAAATGATTAAATATTCATTCATTTTTGTAATTTATTTTTAAAAAATATTACACAACTAGTATAAAAAGTATTACATAACTTTTCCTAAAGGCGAGCAAGTACGTGCTGTTTTAGCACCCCTAGTTGTTATATAATTAACATATTTGTTATAATATTGTATACTATTTATGTACTATAGATCTGATACTATTCAATATTATTGTTTCAATAATCACATACTTCAAACGTAAATAGATATTTCAATCAATTTTGCCAAATAAATGAAGGTAAACGAAAACTCTAGGCCTTTTGGGGCCCTTGCCACCCCCACCCCTGGATCCGTCAGTGACAATAACAAAACCACCCCTTTCTTTAGCTTACACTCCACATGTGGATTATCGTCCCACATAAAAAAAGAAGTTGTTTCATGACGTGACACACAACTGGCATTCAAGACTACGTACGTAGCATAACAATTGCTGGTTCTTTCCAATACACGAGAGCTCATATTTGACATCGCATTTGCAATAGGAAACTTCAGATGGGTTCACATCCCAACTAATAAAACTTACATTTTTCGAACTTGAATGTCAACCAACTAAATGGCACAAACGACTAATACCTAATTCGTTATATCTCTCTCCCGTCCAGCCTTGTCTTCTGTATTCACTTTCAGTGCTTCAGCTGCAGATAATCCTGTTTGTGAATAATAGAGCGCATGGACCGGCTGTGGATGTCGTGTCGCGTGATCCCTGGCGAGTGGCGATCCCGTGATCCTCTTGAATTCCGTCAAATCGCTGTTTGGTCTGAGATTTGGAGCAAGTGAATAGGCGAGTCCCTTTGGTTGACTATGCCCTGTTGGATTCATAACCTCATTAAAGTATATTTACTCGCTCATAACATGAATTTCATGGTATGAAGTGCTTAAGCCCATCGAGACACTTCAACGATGTGTAAGCCAGTGAGCATGAAGTGTCGATGTGATCTTGAATTTGGTTAAGAGAGACCTATGGCTCGTAAAATTTAAGCCTGAAGTGCAATTGAGTAGTAATGGGATAATATTTTTTGGTTCCTAATCGTGTAATTGTGGGAATGTCTTCGCAATGGACTCATATTAGTGACACTAGGTATGGTGAAACGCCCTATTCTCAGTTCAATGTATTTATAGATTTGTGAAGTGCCTTGTACGATCCGAAATAGAGTCGTGAGACAATGTGTTATGTTCAGAGATTTATTGCTTTTTATATTGTGAATATAGAATACTGTATGGAGTAAGATATTTATATGTAACCTGTTTCAGAGTTTTATTGCATTTTCATGTAACTCACTAGCAAAAGTGATATAAAATGGAAACTTTCCATGTGTTGGCTGACATTCATGACTTATCCCCTATATTCACTCCTCTTCGAACAACCCAACGCATTAAGGTAAGTACATTATCTCACTTGACACTTCTAATCGTTTGGAGATGTATTTGGGTCTTTTATATTGTTATCTTGTTTTCAGTACACGTGTTTCAATGTATCTCAGAATTATTTAGTTTTTGGAGCCTCTAGTGGTGGACTTTATGTATTCAGGAGAGAACCATGTTTGTTCCTTCAGCTCCTTCCTCATCAGGTGAGAGTGTCATATTAAATATAACTCATACATACCAACCATTTATTCTAAATCTTTTTTTATTTATTTTTCTTTGTACAGTAATTGCAGAGGCTTATTTAGGCTTAGATTTAATTCAGCAACTGTTAATAACTATAATAATATTTATTGAGTCACATATACAATGCATCTTCCCGGGTAGTGTGGGACCAAAATTACAATTTACTAGTTTCAATATATTTTTTAAGGTTAAATATTATTCACTAATAATAGGGAGAGTAGTGTTGAAGAGTGAAAATTATTAAATCAAGTTTTATTGACCAGTAAGTTATTGCAAATATGTTTTTATTTTTTTTCAGGAAGGAGCTATTGTGCATGTAGCAATATCTCCTGATGAAAAATTATTTGCATTTGCCAGTGTGAAAGGTGTTGTTTGTGTTTTGGAGAAAAATTCATCTGGCTTAGGAGCACGCCGAATATTTACTTCCAGTGAACATGTAGGTGTTAATATTACCGCATTGCATTGGAATAGCGTGAGCAATGAACTTTTTATTGGTGATCAAGTTGGAAAAGTGTCTGTAATCAGTCTGTTTCCTTTTATGGTAAATATCTTAAAATTATTTGTGAAAATGTATGATAATAATTGATAAATGATAAGATGCTTGTAAATTGTATTATTTTTTAGATGAAAAATATGTTCAATCCTCCCTCATGCACCCTAATGGTTCTGGATTCTCAAATAGTGCAGATGGACTGGCAAGCTGATCTACTTTTGGTGTCAACTCTGACTCGTTCTTACATATGTGACATGACCAAAGAATGCTTTCGCCAGATTGGTGTAAAACCACGTGATGGTGAATATGGGTCATGTTTTTATGTATGTGGCGATCTTCCAATCAAGACCCAATGTAGAACTGAAGCTGTTGGAGGAAGATTTACATTAGTGAGTGAAGGGGAAAAAACTGATGGAAGTGAAGAATCGCAATGTGTGAAAGTTTTTTGTGCCAGGCCAGGTTCAAGGTTGTGGGAAGTGAAAATTGATGGAACAGTGCTAAATACACATCAGTTCAAGCAAGCTCTTGCCATACCACCTACAGGTATTATCAAAGTGCCACAGTCCACTGAGTCTAGTCAAGAACGTGATAATGAACCTTCCAAAAGTACAAATAATCAAGATGATGATGTGATATGGAACAATCAGTCTTTTAATTTTTGTAAACTTTTTATATTAGCTAAAAAGTATCTATTCACCTTCAAGAAAGATGGAATATATGTGTTTGACCCAGAGAAAGCAAGTGTAGTTATGTGGAGTAACAATGTTGTAGATATTATCGATGCACAAGTCTTAAAAGACACCATTTATTTAAGAACTTCCTCTGGCCAAATGTTTGGCATCCTTTTTACACCTCTTGAGAAGTTCCTAATTCGGTTATATCTTCGTAAGCAGTATGCTTTATGTGCAGAACTATGTGAAATGCATTGTCAGTATCTAATGAAAGAAGTACCATCATCATCCAAGTTATATTTGCTAGCTGATTTAGGCACTAAATTAAGTAACGATGAAGTTACAGAGCGAATTTTTCCCCTACTGCAAGAGATTTCTAAATGTGCACAAGAAACTAGAAGTGCTCAAAGATTAGAGTCTGGAATTTTTGTTGTAGAAAATCTTCATTTTTTGTCAAAAGAAGAATCAGAAATGTCAATTCCAGACTTGCCTCAAGTTAGGAGAAATGAGAGATTAAAAGATAAATCTAGATCATTGAGTGTTTCCCCAGACAGATCCCGAAGGAAAAAGAAAGTTGATATATTAATTGGAAATACAGGGACTCACAGATCTGATAGTTCTTCATCACTCCCAGAATTGGGGAAGAGTCAGTATAAAAATTCATCAAGAGGAGGGAACGGTAGTAGTGATGGTGGAAGTAGTAGTTCAAACAATGATAAAATTGTAGATTCCAAGAAAAAGTCAGAGGATGTAGAAAATCGTGGATCATCAAGTATGAAGAAGTCTTTTTCAAAAGAATTGTTTACTTCTTTTGATACTTCTCCAGAAACAATTCAAGCCTTAAAGGAAATAGGTCAATCTGTTTCATCAAAAATCACCAGTGGTACAAAGACCTTAAAGGAAAAATGGCAAGTTCTGGAAGGAAAAATTCTTGGAAATGAAGCCACTCCTGAACTGTTGGACATTAGAACAGCAGATTATGTAGCGAAATTAGAAAGTCATGGTTCTGTGAATACAAATGAAGAGATTGTGTTTTCAGATAATTCAAAAGTGGAAAAAAGTGGAAAAAGACATTCTCAGCCTGAGGTTGATATCAGTAAAGTTATATTAGTTCTCCAACAACTTGATAATTTAAGAGAAAATGAAGATGAAAAGAAACTTCTTATTTGTAAATTATGTTTTGAAATTTTGCTTCTTTATAATAATTACATTGCAATAATGCAAGGTTCATTAAATAAAATTTCTAGAACAGGGAACTTTGAAGGAGAAGATCATGATTCGAAAGTAATAATGAAGTATTTCTTAGTGGAGTGGCCAGACAAATCATTTCCATTTGAAGAATACTTTTCTTCTGAAGTTTTGAAAGATCTGTCGGAGAGATTTCATTGTTCTCTGAAAACAAAAGTGCTTGTTGGTTGGCTAGAGGAATTGAGTCCTATTTTGGAGAGTGACGTGTGCCTGGAATCTTTGTTACTTATCTATTCTCAAGAAGCTGTTCGTTTAGATGTTCTTCTTAGCCGATTTCTTGTAGTGTGCTCAGAATTGTTGGATCCACATTGTATATTACAGTGTATCAAGGAGTCCGGAATTACATGCTATTACATGTCTTTCAGTATTGTTCTTGATAAGTACCAAGCAGGTGCATTGCAACAAGTTGGGAAGGAGAGATCTGTCGAAAGTTCATGTTGGCAGTGGCCTTTACCCCTCAGATTAAATGCAATGTTTTTTATGCTGCAAATGAATCAAATAGAAACGTGTTATATGATGGGAAATAACATTGATCTGCAAGATATTTGGTATCTTACATTACGCTTGCAACAACAGCAACAAGGACAAGAATACAATTTTGACTGCAGCCATTCATATTCTATGTTTTTGACTTACCTTGATCGAGCAACTGACACAGGCCTTGTTATGCAAAGTCTTTTGAAGAATGACTACCTCACCTCTATTACTGCAATGGCTTTTGAAAATGTAAACCAAGGCCTTGGTGGCAGCTGTAAGTGTGGCTTTCCTTTCCCTGTGGGTAAAGCAACACAGGTGCTCTTTAGTGATATTGGACGAAGTTTGTCTAATCATCTCTGGCTAACAAATCACGATCGACACCAGCAGTTATGTGAACATGTACCAGTTTTATGGAAACAAATGCTTCGTAATACTCCTCCAGATAATCTTAAGTCAGTCCTGCCACTTCTTGTTCAATTAGGGGATTTCAGTATATTGGAACCACTCTTGCCTTGCATGACACTTGATTTATGGAAACAGGTCCTAGACATGACTGCCACTGTACGATCGGGTCAGTGCCTGAAATGTGGACTGCAGTCCCTTCCAAGGAATGTTGGTGATAGTGTTTGCCTTTCGGATGTTGGTGCTCTCTTGGTGAAGCATGTGGGGGCTTTTAGTGCCCTCGATATACTTTCCAAACATTCTGCAAGTGTTGGCCAAGGATCTCTTGATGAAAGGTAAGTGTCTTCATTTGAATGGAATGTAGTGTTAATGAAAGAAAACAACCAAAAAAATCTTTATGCTGTTATTCTCTTCTGATGGATAGTTTTCACATCTTCATAACAAAGCCTAATCTAGTTGTCCCTTGCTTTATTTATATTATATTGGCAGGTATAATATTAAATAAAGCAAGTAGTCGTAGTGGACAATACTTTAATAAAACTGTTGGTTCCTATTTGGATGAAAACTGTATCTTTCCTCTTTGAGACTTGATGATCATTTGAGTAAATTTTCATTTATGATTTATTGATATGGAGGAAGAACATAAGATGTTCTGAGAAAATAGCTTTCGAAGTTTTAATTGTGTAATAATTTGTGTCAATTCTCACTTGCAATGTCATAATACATTTTATTTATTATTCTGTCTTTTAATTAGAAACAATTATTGGATAAATTAAATCAGAATTGTACTCAAGTGTTATGGTTTTTAATATGATTTAATTTGTTCAATAACATTTTAATTTAGAGAAAATAATTGTAATATTTACACAATTGTAAAGCGATAAACCTTAGCGCAAAATGTGGTACATGTAACAAAAGTATTTTTATTGAAAGCCTAATAGATGTGTGATTTAATTGACGTGTTTCTGATTTAATTTATCCAATGGTTGTCTCTAATTAAAATATGCAAATAATAAATTACTAAACATACAACCAAAAAATATTAATAAGTACTGTAATAATAAATTTTGCTTATTTTCATATTTTTTGTACATATTTTCTTGTAATTGAATTACTAGTGAACCATTTTATTGCATAACATCTGGCATATCAATCAAGTATTCTGTAGTGTCTTAATGCAACAGAAACCGATAAAGTGATCTAAGATTGTAAACTAGAGTGCTGTTGAGTTCTTCATTGAAGA